GGAGCTCTGCCCAGCCGCAGGGCCCCCGCAGCCATGGCACCTAGGCCAAGTTGAGGCCTGCTTCTGGGGCACCACGGCTCAGTGCAGGGCTTGCTGGGCCCCTGCACTGCACTGCTGACTCAGGTTATGCTTATGGAGGATTTGCACATAATTACTCCTGTTTCACCAGGCTCGGCTACTTTGTGAATGTCCTTGGGAGCTCGACACAGGTTCTAACAGTACCTGAATATGGCAGAGCTCTGATTTCAGCTGGGTCTCGGGTTATTAAAATGCAAACAATGAACCAGTTCCTCCCTGAGCTTGAACAGCAGGGTCTGTCTTGGTGCCCCAGATTCCCTCAGTATAGCAACTTGTACGCTATAGCATTCAGAGGTTATTAAACTGAGGGGGAGAAGCAAGCAAATAGCACTTCTATATAGCATCTCTTTTAGATCGGGCAGGAATATGGGTAAGAATGCAATAAAAAACAGTTATTCATCTTGCAGCTTGAGTCAAAACCAGAGCTACCATCTTACCCCACACGTCTGTCCCCTCTACCACAGCCTGAGGACATTATTTAATCATCACCTTTCCATTCAACCTTTGTTCAATTTTAATTCACGAAGTAAACAATAGAGAGAAATAATATAGAATCTATAGCTTAAATAGAATTAAGTAGAATTAACAGAAAGGAAAGAGGCTAGCCAGTTCTTTTGTTTTTTAAACTCTGCCTGATCTTTTTTTCCAAGAAGGTACAGCCAGTGTTCAGACAGTACAAGCACTCCCCAGTTACTTGATCTGAAGTGGAGTGTCATCATCTGACCCACAAATACTTCTGGTTGACTGTTTGGTCATCCTTTCCTGGGCATAACCTCCCTGAAGAACTTAATATATTATCAGATGTTCCTTTTTCCTGCATGTGGAAGAATTTTAATGGATCCTTTACATACTTGTAAATACCTGTGTTATTTCATGTAACTCTAATTCCTTGACAGATTAGAGTGTTTGAAAAAAATCAGTATATTTGTACATATATTTTCAAAACAAAAGCTTAGATTTTGAAAGATGAGTATGTATTAAAGCCTAGAAACTAACAGTGTAATCCTCACCTTAGAGATTTTTTTTTTTCCTGATGAAAACGTTCTTTTCTGTATTAAAATACCAAGTAGATTCATTTCAGACTTTCTCCTAATGATTCTATTTCCTGCCCAGTTTTCATACTTCGTATAAAATTGAGGCAGTTATGGTACAAAAACTTGGAAACAGAAGTGAGGCTTGCTGCTTGCAGCTATGCAGTACTTAATTATATTATATCCTTGCATTTTAATTTTGCCTTTGAGACTGCTGCAGCACAGAAGTTCCCTGTGATGAACGAATCTGATGAGGGAATCCAGCAAAGCTGATAAACTTGTCCGAGATGGATCCTGCTCTTCTGCTGTCCCCAGCGTGAGATCATGCCTGTCAAATCACAGCTGGACAGATGAAATAGACTGTGGGGCTGGCAAAGTGCTGCAGCTAAGGCACCGAGGGTCACTTGGCAGCTCACAAGAAGTTGATCTGCATTTTGCTGTTCTGTGAGATCACATGTGCATTTAAGGATTACACTTCAAACATCTTCTTTCATGCAAACAAAAATAAGGGTTTATTGAGCTGCTGGAATTTTAGGAGCATTTTTATTTTCTCAATCATGTAAGTGTGCAGAGTAATAAAATACTTTCTAACAAATTTACTCTGCAGGTAAGACTTTTGGTTTAATTTGATTCGGTTAGAAGTACTTTGTTACTGGAAAAGGCAGACTGAAAACTGGGAAAAATGTTCTAAGTTGTTTTGGAATATTTTAGGCTATTAACTGCTGTTATTTTCCTATAAGAAAGCCTTGAGTTAGTTTGCTTCTGAAGGATTAGGCAAAAAATCATAGAAATGGGAAAAACCAGTCTTTTCTTTATCCATCTTTTCTGAATATATAGTGTATACTATTATAATCTAAAACTGAACATAGGATAATCTTACTAATCAGTATGAAAAAAAAATTACTAAGGAATCTTCTTTGTTACAGTTAAAGAATTCACTGCTGAAACTCAAAAGGTGTCACTATCAACTTTGCAACCCAGGTTTAATTCTGGTGGGTACATTCCATTAAAATTACTGGCTCTTTTAGTACAGATGAACAATTCCATATACGTACAAACTGGATCCAGGCACAGGGGAGAGGCAGGTGAGGTCCAGTTTCCATGTGGTCTTGAAATGGAGTTTTCTTGTGGTCTAGCCAACACTGCCCTGAAACTTGTAGGTGTATTTTCTGTAATCCAATGCAAATCTATTCCTCATGAACAGAAGTAGCTTCAACTACTCCAACAATGGAAGTAGTTCTTCCATTCGTGTTAACAGCCAAGTACAGTTAGCAAATTATTCTAGTGTCTATTCAACACAGCATGTTTAAAAAGTATATAAAAAATAATATTTCTGCTTTCTCATAATAATAATAATCTCATTTCTTAGCCATCTCCTGCCTTTTTCATTTTGTCTTTCTTTCTTAAAAAAAGAAAGCATATGTTCACTATAATATTAGCAAAGGTGCTTTGTGCTGATTATGTCTGTCATTCTATTTATACTTGTGAGAAAATCAGCAACTTGTCCCATACTTATGTTCCCTATATAGTCTGCTAAAGTGCAAGTTCATAAAGATCAGTGTAATTTCTGCTAAAGGCAGAGGGTTTAAGGAGCTCCTGGCTGAAACTACAGGAACACTGTAAGCCAAAATGATATGCAACAACAACATAAGAAAGCTGCATTGGTTTACCCCAGCTGAGAAAATGATCTAGTGCCTCTTACATACACATAAATGTCACACACAATACAAACAAGAACCCAAGTGTACAATAGTGTTTCAAGAGCCAAATGTTACATATTTAGAATATGGTTTCATAGTTACATCACTACTTCTTTACAGAGTAATGAATACTCTTGGGATGAATACACTTTTTTTGTAGCTGTTACAAATGCTACTGTGAGGGTTTAAAATCACCTAAGCCTCCACAGCTCCTTCAGTCCTACAGCTGAACCTGTGGCTCTGACTGCAAATAGATTTTAATGCCACAAGAAGTGCTGTGAACCAAGAGAGCCTGTCTGTGCTCATCTTGGTGTAGGACAGAGTTACTGGCCACACAATCCACTCCAACTGAATTCTGTTTTATGTCAAAATGGAAATGAGTCTCCAAACACAGAGAGCTCAGGATCCCCAGAGAGAAATTCTAGTCTCAGAAGTCTATGGAAACCTCAACAATGTTAGTTAAATTCAGTGGGAGCAGGATCTTTCCTTCAGAGTGCATTACCTTTGTGATCATTTGGCAGGGAATAGAGTCAGCTGCACGTCTCTTGGGTGAATCAAATCAAATAATACTATCCAGACTGGAAGATACTTTCCCAAGAGGCAGCCTTCCTTATTAGCCTAGAGGCTAAATTTTGTACAGGTAGCTTGTAGCATTTGAATACTTCTCACTAGAATTTTCCATTTCATTAATATCTTACAGATTACATGAACAGCATTCTTCAGTATGACTTAATTCTAAAGTCCTACTAGTAGCAATTATACAGGTGTGGCATATGTTCTCCTCAAACACAGAGTTCAGTCAGCCCTAGGTCTTTTTAAAAGGATGATAAATGCCTTAAAGCAGCTTGAAAGATAACATAAGACAAAAGAAACTGGATGTAGACTGATGAAACTGCCAGGATTCTCACAGTTTACCTTTTTAGGATATAGAAATGCTCTTAAGAATCACTTATTTTTAGAAGAAGTCCAATTTTTGAGTAAGAAAATATAGTTACCATCTGTGGAACCTCAATGCAATGACAATTCTTGTCACACACTATGATATACTGGACTGTGCACAATGCAGGAGGAAAAGAAAAAGAAACATCAACAAAGGCTTCTTCCTGAATGCTATTTTATAGAGGAGAATATTGCTGGCTGAAGGTAGCTTTCAGCCTTATAAGCTGTCCCTTAAAAGGTTTTCTCCAGAAGTGTTAATGCTATGAAGCACTAATCTTGCCTTTCTTTTTTAGGCATATTTCCCATACAGGCAAAATTGTACTGAATTAATTGGAAAGTCTGGCTAAATGGAAAGTGAGGAGTACAGGTCAGAGCCTAAAGCAACTGAAAATCTTGACAGCAAAATGGTAAACTCATTAGTAGCTAATAATGCAGTAGCACTTCAGCTGAACACTGGATTAGAATAAAGGAAGAGACTTACTGGATATGGAGGTGTAAAGGGCAAAAGACTTGAGGCTAGTCATTTCTTTCTGTCTGGTTTCCTCTACGCTGCTGTGAAAGATGTGTTCCCAAGCATAGAGTTTAAGCAGCTTAATGCCTCGAAGCATCTCATTTGTCTTCTTCAGTCTCTCATTGGAGTACTCCTGCAACAGTTACATACACATTTACTTAAAAAGTGTAGTTCAAGTACCTGTCTCCTAAATATAAAGGTCACACAAAAATTGTCAGCAGCCCCTTGTAACCAGTCAGATATACTTTGCTAGTCCTGTCCATTCAGATGTTTTGCTGCTGTTTTCCACAAAGGTGAGCTTCCCTAGAGTTCAGCTGCACAGGCTGTTTTTTTGCACTCCCAAATCACATAACTTGTACCGAAAATTTTACTCCTCTTTCAGCTTTCCCAGTACTTGCAAGACAGCCTCTCATGGCTCGCAGTGCCCAGCGCCCTGGCTGGATTCTCAACAGGCACTCTGACAGGGCACAGAGGAGAGGAGAACACACAGAGAAGCCCTGACTGGGACTCCAGTGCAGTCCACACGATGTGGAAACATTGACTCCAGGCTTCAAAGCAGTGAGGCCACATTAGCCAGAAATGGGGATCCTGTAGGGAACCCTGACTGAGCAGGGCCAGCTGGCTCAGGCACAATAATGCACTGCTAAAGTTATACTCCCAGCAAAGCATAACTGGAAGTTATGCTGCTTCCAGTTTTCAGGCTAGCTCAAGGTTCTTTGTACCACACTATGTTGTGCAGGGGAGGCATTTCTGGTACAAAATGTGCTGTTACCACCTGCAGGAACTTCTAGGTGGTGCTGTCTGCTTGGAAGCTGCAGGGATGAATGCTGTGCACGTTTCTAGAAGGTTATACACTGCTGATGTGAAGGCGTTACTGTCCACACAGGAATGTGGGCAAATAAGTCATTACCACCCAGGATTTGTGGTGGAAGAGATTTCAGCAAGCTGTGTGTGCCCATTACAGGTCCATAGTGCTTCCGTGGCAGTGCAACAGTTGCTGGAGGTGGGGATTAGGTTCGGAGCAGCTGGGTATAATGATTCCTATGAACCAGGGTAACTTTGTTCCTAGTCATGCAGGTGATTCAAATTGTAGACAAGCCAAGCGAGGGATCAAGCAACAGCTCAGGACTTGACATATTGCTAAGCTGCCCAGTTGAAGAGCTGGCTGTGGGAGGTAGGACTGCCTGCAGGTCATTTAAATAAATCAGTCTGATAGATTTTCACATCTACAGTGTATCTGGGGCCTGAGTTAATCTGCAGTACTGCTACTTCCTTGGACCTTGGACAGCTTGCCTTGCATGATTCATTTATTTGTGCATCTTCTCACTGCACAAAGCCATTTCAGTGATTACAATTTACATTTACAAGTAAGAGAGATCGTAAGTTTTTTAGCTCCTAGGGAAACGCATTCTTACTGCAAAATACAAACCCCAAAATGTGGACCTTTACTGCTGACACTTACCATGTTTTCACATTCTTGAGTTTAAAGTTATTGAACATGACAAAATATTTGAGAATCAGTTCCTGGTCAATGTCCATGGTTAGCTTTGGAATTCCAAAAAGGGACCAACACACAGTTACCAGAGGTGAGATTTATATCATGCACGAGTTTGAAGACACTTACCAATGTGCTCCTCTGGGCCTGTGAGAGTTTTGTTGCTACAAAGTACTGAACAGGTGCAAGGACTATGATTACTGCTGCCCCAATTAAAGCACTGATTCCAAGAAGGTAATAGAGCAGAAGAACTCCTACAATTATCTGTTGGGAGAAAAGAAAGTGAGGGGAAGGCTTGGGATGGCTTCACTTTGTGCATGCGCCATGAAGAACAGTCACAGGGTAACTAACTGGACAGCATGTCCCAAACCTTCACTTCAAATAAACTCTAACATAAACTTGCAAGGCATTGTTTTAATGATGCACAGTACCAGACTGGCAATGACCATTAAAAAAAGGTTAAAGAAACACCTTAAGAAAAAAAGGTTTGTCTTTGGAGAAATAAGAATCTACAGAATCACAGTCTGGATGGAAAAAGCTCCTGTAAGCAGATCAATAAATGCAAACAAGCTATACAAGCTACCAGTGTTGATTACCACTACTCTAATGACTGACTCCTTAACAATCTGGAGCACTGACACACTGTATTATAAACTGACAGATTAATCAGAAGCCATAGTGATAGAAAGTTAATTTCATACATAATTTCTTTTAATTAAGAGAAAGAAAAAAAAAATTTCCTTAAAGCGTTATCTACTGCTCTTGCTATATTTGTATACTCTGATAATCCTCACAGGAAAACCATCTTCCATCATTTAGAAGCTCAGTAGCCACAAGCCCATCCATTCCCACACATACTTATGGGAACTGGGTGTTTCCATGAAGAAAAACAGAGTCCTTAGTTTCCACATTTCCATTTTGATACTTTCATTAAAGGCACAGAGAGAGAAAATACAGATTTTTTTTTTTTTTCCCCCTTAACAATCCTTTGATGCCTCTCTGCAGATGAACTAAACTAAAATGGGACTTTTAAAATGAGTCACAGAATTTACTTAGAAGACATGCAGTAACGTGAAAGTAAAGTCCCATTGTATACACATCACAAATCTAGCAAGAGCAAAGGTTAAACTGTAAAATAAAAATCTTCCAGCGATGAGTAAGTGAGCAATCTGCTTCCATCTGAAGTCAGGAAATCCATGAGTGTATGAAGCTAAAGAAACCTGCAAGGCCTCTGCAGATGGCCTTGGCAGAGCTCCCCTCCAAAACATGAGATGGTCTTGGCCTTTACAGACCAAGATACTCATTCCCAACCGCTTCTTTGAGGGCAGACAATCTAGGCACTCAAATACAGGAAAGCATTGAGCAGTGCAGAGTTAAGAGATGGTCAAAACCACAAAGTCAGTGTGGAACACTGACCCCCTGCATTCCCCCACTACTGGTCAGTTGTCGAGGACGTGATGGGACCGGCTGGTTCTAGAACCAGAGGCTCAGCCTCTTTCACAGACAGGGGGAAAGCTGTTCTCACTATTGATCCTGAGGGGTTGCTAGCTCACGGCTGCTCCCCCCCGTCCTGGCTATTGACAGCATCGGTCTCTGCAATAACAATTCTGTTTTCAATAGATTAAAAGTGATCTCATTTTCATCTTCTTTATATTGTGATAATAAGGCCAAAGTTTAAAAATAGACTCATCATGTATGGGCCAAGAAAATATAGGCTCAATTTAAGTATTTGAATACTTGTATCTGGAAAGTGCTGAAATCTGTAAACATTATTGCAAATAATTCTATATTTATCACACTGCACATGACACAGTCAAGAATAAACAGTACATAGATAATATTTGAACTGCTGGAGGACAGCATCTGGCAGATGGGAAAGCTCTCATTAACATTTCTGAGAAGATAACGACCATACTTTTATAAAACTGTGCAATTAAGCATTTCCCTTTCATCAAAATCCCAAAGCTCTTACCTGCCAGAGATATGTATCACGAGCAACAAACTCATCAGTAGCTCTGGTTATTTTGTCTTGATTGTTTATGAAAGATAGGAAATACTTTCAGACAGAAACTGAAAGAGACAAATGCCCTTTCACTACAACTGTAAGCTATCCCTGCCAACAAACAGAGATATGAGAATACAGGATTTTTTAATAATCACAATGAAATCAAACAAGGGTGTTTATAAAATGGAGGTGGGGGAAGCACCTTTATAGGGCCTCATTTTGCTCCCAGGGTTTCAGCCAAGCCTACTGAGGGCATCTTTCAATTGATGGACATCCCCAGGCCTCTTTTCATGGATTTCAATGGCCTTCAAACAGTAACTTAAGGCAATGATAAAGCTCCTATTGACTCCAGTCAGAGCAAAGATGGGGCTCAAATGATCTGGGCTGTATAGAAAACCTAACTCGTTATGAATGGCTAGGTCTTCTAAGTCAATTCTAATTACAAAATAACAAAATCCACAGCAGATGTTGAAATGCTAATTGTTAGGTTAAGAGCTATGAAACAGTCAAAAAACTGTTTTAGCTAATAATGAAGCTTGTTCAGCTTTTTATTAGCTGTCTCTGGAGCATCCAGTAATTGCTTTCACTGCCTCATAAAACAAGGTATTGAATGAACATTGTGGAAAGATGTTTTGGAGAAACCTTTGTGAAAGGTGAATGAAACCGTGACTCATTGATCTGAGCCTGACAAGGCTGCACCATCCACAAAACAGAAGTGTGCCTGGACACTGATTGTCCTGACCTGCTAAAGGAGCATTGCCAGGTGAGTTTTAATGCAAATATAATCATATTTTCAGAAGACTGTCAAAATCTGAGTCTGTGACTTCTGGCACATTAGAGCAAAATGTCACAGAATACGCAATGAAAGTGGCCTCAGCTCCAGTTGCACTAAAGCTCTCTCTACCCTGAGCTCCTACAAAAAGCATAGATGTAACTGGTACCTCTCACATAGCCCCTTTACTAACAGACAACGGATACTAAGCCTAGGGGATAACTGCACCCTAAAGGATAAATTAAAGGGTGGACTCTTCTTAATGCTTCAGAGCTCTTCCAGCATTATCATTTTAGCAGTATACAACCACCGACTTCTTACTGCTGGGTGCTTCAAGTAAATGGACAAAAAATACACTGATATCCAAACTACTAACAAAGTGCCAACCAGTAAGCACATTTAATCTGATATTTCACATCAGGTTATTTTCCTCGTAGTTGTCTTCTCTTTTGGAATTAGAAATTAACACATGTTCCTTGATCATTGGGTTTTTTTCTTCACATGGAAATAATCTCGATGCCATTCCCCTCCCCCATAATATCAGGGAAACCATCCTGATGCTAAAAAATAAGTCAAGTTTATTCCTAAATAATTCCTGCTAATAATTAATATATCCACCACCCTTTTTTAATTCCAGAAAGGAAAATGCTTTCAACTGGCATCTAAGCCTCTCCAGAGTACACCAGGAACACCAGTCCACACCCCAGTGAATTTGCTCCTGCACAAGGAAGAGACAAACGTGTTTATACTTTAGGAATGCAGCCACACCATGACCTGTATTACATGTGACTACACACACTTTAAATCTTAATATTTTAACAGGTATAGTTATACACAGCTCACACATGTATACACAAGCCGTAGCATGAGTGCATGGTTAAAAGTAGTCATCAGTTAGTAAGCTGCTGTTCACAACTTCATGTGCACACCTGATCTGTGGCAATCTGACCAAAGTATCTTGTTTTAGACAGGAACAACTGTAAAACCCACTCAACTCTAACATGTACCTTTATTGTCTGAAAAGAATGCAGATCTCCTGAAGGCCAGCAGTCTAATGCTTTAGTCTTTGAATGACATTGATCTGATTTATAGAATCACCTCAATGAGTGGCTTTTCTCCCCTACCCCCAACTTTTCTATGTAGTATTCTTATATACTCATAATCTTATAAAAGAAAATCACTAGTATAGATGTTGATGCACATGGTAACCCTCCTAAAGCTATGTTAGAAACTGACTGGAAATCTCACCTGCCAGTTGCAGTACCTACAGTCTCATGAGAGTTATTTCATTTTTGGACTAGAGCAGGCAATGTGAACTGCAGAGCTGCTGGGCAGATCACTTGCAGCTGTCTGACTGCCACAGCAGCCAAGTCAGGCTCTGTGTAGTGCTGGAACCAGACTGCTTTTGTGACATGAACACAAAAGAGTTTTCACCATGTTTTTGAAACTAAACGACACTTTTAGAAAACACTGAGTGCATTTAAACTCTGCTGCCTTTTTGTCTGTATTTACTTTTAGCACTGAAGCACTCTCGACAAAACTACACCCAGTATCTGGAACAAAGCAGAAAGAATTGCAGGCTAATGTATTAATATCAGATGAAACTACATGCTTTACTGTCAGTTTTCTCAGGAAATTCCTAAATGGAAGTGCAGGGGGTTTCTATGGTTTTGTTTAAGTACTGGCTCTTCCAAAGTAATTTGTACTTTTCCACTGCTTCAGTAAGTGCAAATTTTGAACGATGACCTAAGGTTGTACTCAGATTGCTTTGACCTCCTCCTACTCTGTGTCTGCTCTATCTTTTTACTAGTGTGAACTTAACCACATGGTCATCCAGTGAGAGCAACCACTTCAGACACTCATGGGAATGCTATCTCACTGGAAAAAGACTGGCTTTGATCAGATTAGTTTTTCAGTAGCTCCACAAGCTCATGTGACACAATGCACAATCTACAGAGCTGGAACAATTAAGGAAGTAAAAATGCCATGTTTCCATTTTGGACATAGCCTATCAACTCCTGTTTAATAGGAGAACAGGCTTCGATTAATTTAAATCAATTGAGAAAGTACCTTCTGAGATGGGACTCTGCTTTCCTCATCTTAAAGACTTGCTAAGACACAGCTGTATTTCACTGGGCATTACACATGCTATGAGGCATGTGACACGGAGCCAGGAGTCACCAGGTGATTGAGCATGACTCAAATGGTGATCTGCCCATGTCACATGTAGGAAAGGGGATTGAAGGGATGAGAGCAGTATTTAGAGACAAGAGACCAAAGACACCAAAGAGAATAAAACAGCAAAACCATTTCAAGTTACAAATGTATGTGTGGAATTTCATATGCTAGAATGTGTCATCCACGAGGCAGCAGTTGTTTTAAGGGATGTCCAAAACATCACCTCTAAACAATCATATTTTTAAATAAACTGTTACTTCTCTTGCTTCTGCTGGGATTCAGAAGACAAATGAATGCAATACATTCCAGTTAACTCCCCTGACATATTAAATGAATGCATTGGAATAACACAGCCTGCTGTGCCCTGTAAGTCCTTGTTACAAAGGCAAAGCATGTTTGGCAGAAGTCAAGATCCAAACAATCCTAAATACCTAGGGTCCTGTCACAGATGTGAAATGTATCCCATACTATGTTTCTAGACGTTAAAAGCTTGAATCTTATTTTGATATATTCTTTAACTTCTTCAACATTGCTACTTTCTTAAAACTAATAAGCGATCAATCGCTACAGACCAATGCACATTCAGTCTCCTTACCTGTACTGGCATAGCCCAAAGGTTAGGGCAGAGGAAAAAGAACCACATGAGCTGATTTGTGTCTATGGCAACTAGGTTACAGATCTGGCCTGCAGTCATCTCCCCCATAGACATGTTAGAGGTTGAAAGCTGCATAATTTTATTGTATATTTTTGTCTGGAAGAGAGGTCGAAAGATGTTAGCATACAGAAATAAAATAGGATTTCTAGCTCTGTTTAAAACATAGGTGTAGTCCAGCATGCTGAGGAAAACCAACATTCCCAGTAATCTGAATGAAAAGCTTAAATTTGGGCCCTTTCTGGTATGATGAAAGATTTTGAGCTATTGAGTTATTATTCACCCACAAAAAGCATATTGCAATTAGATACAGAATGGTTGTCTAAGTACTCTCTTTTGTATCCCTGTAGATCAGCAAGAGAATGAAACCTTTACTGCCCAAAAGGCCCCAGAACCATATTAACAACTTTGATTCATACCTCCAGCTTCTCCATGGAGTGCCTTGGCTGTAGCTAGTGCTAATAAAATAACGTATCATTACATTCAATACGTAACAGTCAATATATTATAATCCTTGTTATTTTTCTGTGACGTCTGATTCAGGTTTCACCCAACCTCAGGACCATAGTTCTGGCTGAGAACGTTGCTACAAGGTTTATTTCACAGACAACTGAAGTAACAGGTCCAGTTCTGTACTGAATTAAGTAGTTAGCTCAGTGCAGAATCAGGCACCAGGTAAAGAAGTAACAATACACACTAATGACCAGTAGTGTTTTACCAGCCAGTTTGGTAAAATGCTACACAGCAATGCTTTGCAGTCATGAAACTGAGCTGACAGAAGGCACCCTGATTCAACAGCTGCCTTTAGATCAAGTGCCAGCTGTCCATCACAAAGCATAAAGTCATGTGGGGCATGTGGAACAGGTGAAGTTTTACAAGGAAGGAAAAAAGATAAAAGGTTGAAAGAAAATTTAAAAATTATAGGGAAAAAAATTGTATACAACTGCTCGCACAGAGTTTGCCATGAACACCAATTTTGTTGTTTAGAGTGATGGCTAGAAATTTTCCAAATTGACTAGTCCGACTGCTGGTGTTATCTGCGCCTCTGTGTAATGTCCAGTGCAGAGAACACAAACCTTTTCTTTAACCTAATTATGTAGCACTATTTCCCAAAAATTCCCCTTTTACACTTGCTGTGGTCCAAGTATTTCTCAGGTAGTTGCAGTTCTTCTGTTTGATACAAGACATACAATTTTTTACTATGTATCCGGGGTCAAATTATTACTTCTTCAAGAATTTTCTGCTTTACTCTCATAAGGGAAAACAAGTGGATGGAATCCAGAAGTCTGTCAGCTGACAAGTGCTGCCAAGTGTAGGATCAAAAGAGGATTAAACAATTAGGCTGCTACCGAAAGCATCCATCTATCACACGGGCTCCCAGAGGACCTCCATGGCCACTGGTGAGCAGTGTAACTCACAAGGCTGGCTTTCAGGCTGCCAGAGGGTCTGTTTCAGCCAGTGCACTTGGCAGTATCACACTGTAATCTTACCCCTAATTCTCTCATTGCCAGGCACAGATCTTTATATACTATGCAAAACTTTGATCTGCTGTTCACAGTTTTGCAATGATTATTGGACTCCATTTTACCTGCCTCACTTATGTCCAGTAATTAGACTCTGCAACGCCCGGTAGATTTTGTGGCACTACCCATGGAATAAGACTGGGAATATGCACTGGGAAGACAACCTACCCTTTTGTCCAAAGTATATTTCCTAGACATTTTAAAGCTGTATTATTTACACAAGACATTACAAAAATGCACCTGTGAGATGGGAGAGGTGCAGTTCACAACCTAAATTATTTCAGAAGTTACATTCAGTTTTCCTGTCAGCAAATTTATGCTCAAAGGTGAGAAGAAATACAGCATTAGATATTACAAATAAGCATTTATATAAAATCATCAGGTATTGATGATAAAATCAGAGGAAAGAATACAGGTCTAAACACAATCTTTAATAGCAATGCTTACATTCAACACATTTCAGGAAAGAAGCATTTTGGAATTTAACTACCATAATTACAATTGGTATTTACAAATACACATATGATTCGTATGAAAATAGGTGAATTAATAACACATTGGCTACCTGTATTGCACCTCGCAAGTTGATTCCTGTTTCAATAGCAACGTAGTATGATGCTTGGAGAAATGTCCTTTGCAACAGAAGGGCAAAAAATAAGAGCACAGCCAAAACATAAGCATTGGACAGGAACTCTTGAGAGGAAATAAAGAAAACACCAAGAATTTTAGTCTGAAAAAAAAAAAACAAAAAACCAGTAAGTTAGAAATCGGATGCAAGAGTAATTTAATTATGAGCTTTGCATAATTAATAAGCAGAGATAACCAGTTCATTACTTTGAAAGTGCTCCCAACCTCATCTGAAACCTCATAGTTTATCAATTCAAGGAAATAGTCACATAATGTGCCAACTCAGTGAGCTTTATTTAAAAGCAGAATGACATTTATAGGATTTCTGATATCCTTCCAAAACTGTAGGACACTGAGTAACTCCATATAGTCATTTGCCAAAAGATGTGAACTGCCTAAATCTTTCTGTCCAAAAGAACTCGATGCTCTGAAAGGACAATAACTAGTATTAGCATAACAAACAACTCCAGTTACTGAATGCTAAAATGACCACAACCTGCTGAAAGCATCCTTCCAACTCCTGGAACTGTGCATTTTGCTTTGGTTTACAGCATCTTGTTCAGCATTTTTACTTATGGTCATTACCTTCCAACAAATTCATGGGATCACCCAAGTGACATCTTGAAGCATGTGTAGAGCTTACTGGGAAAGCAGCACTTTTAGTCTAGATTCCATTTTACAAGCAGACACCTTTGGTGCCACAACTATTGATAGGCTGGCTCACCTTGGGAAGCCTGCTGAAGCTAAAATGTCTCTGCCTTCCTCTTTCTCCCCTTGGCTCCTTCAAGCTTCAATTGCTGGTTTATGCTGCCATTAACAGCACAACTAGGAAGAGGTCTCTTTCCATTCCCTCTTAGG